TCTTGTACTTTTTAGCAGTTTTCCATTTTACACCTAGTAAATCTTGTAGTTTTTAGCAGTTTTCCATTCTACAATTAGCAAATCTTGTAGTTTTTAGCAGTTTTCCATTCTACACCTAGCAAATCTTACAGTTTTTAGTAGTTTTCCATTCTACACCAAGAAATTCTTGTAATTTTTACTAGTTGTCTATTCTACACCCTTGTTTTTAGTAGCTATCCGTTCTACACCCCTTTTGAGACTATAATAAACACTAACTTGCCTTCTTTAGGGGTGGGACGTGGTAGGCCGAAAATCTGAGAGAGATAGAGAGAGCCTAGAGAGAAAACCTAGATCTACACCCTTGTTTTTAGTAGTTACCCAATCTACACCTAGCAAATCTTGTAATTTTTAGTAGTTTTTCATTCTACATCTAACAAACCTCGTAGTTTTTAGCAGTTTTCCATTTTACACCTAGCAAATCTTTTAGTTTTTTTAGTAGTTTTTCATTTTACACCTAGCAAATCTTGTATTTTTTAGTAGTTATCCATTCTACACCTAATAAATCTTGTAGTTTTTAGCAGTTTTCCATTCTACACCTAGCAAATCTTGTAGTTTTTAGCTATTTCCCATTATGCACTTAGCAAGTCTTGTAGTTTTTAGTAGTTTTCCATTTTATACTTAGCAAATCTTGTGGTTTTTAATAGTTATCTATTCTACACCCATGTTTTTAGTAGTTATCCATTCTACACCCTGTTTGAGTATATAAAAAAACACTAACATGCCTCTTTTAGGGGTGAGATGTGGTAGGCCAGGAAATCAGAGAGAGCGAGGGAGAGCCTAGAGAGAAAACCTAGATCTACACCCCTACTTTTAATAGTTATTCAATCTACACCTAGCAAATCTTGTAGTGTTTAGTAGTTTTCCTTTCAAAACCCAACAAATATTGTAGTTTTTAGTAGTTTTTCATTCTACACCTAGGGGTCGTTTGGGAACTTAGAAATCTAGTACATGAAAATATATTACATAGAAATATGTTACTTGTATTGTTTGGGTGTACTTTAATAGTAAGGAAAATGGAAAAAAATTAACCAGATTTCCCCAAAAATTAGAAAATCTATTACACGCGGTAAATGGTGAAAAATATATTACCCTATTAATAGGTAATCGTGGAAAATCTTTTGGGCACATCTTAGTAATTTTCGCTACCACAGTTGTGAGTATTGTTCCAAAAAAAATAAATAGATTTGGGCTCTCTGCAAAGATCAATCTGTTTATTTTTTTAGCTTTATTTTTTTTTTTTTGCTGCTATTTTTTGCTGATAAATTCGAAATTCTTGAGTTCATTCATAGAGAATTGTCAAATCAGTGTAGTTGAATAGTTTTGTTTTGTTTTTGTTTTTTTTTTTTTCAAAACTTTTTAAAATTAATTTACCTCTTCAATCATCTCCAATGCCCCAACATAATTTCTCGTCCAATGCATCTCATTTAATCATAAAGCCTTCTAGATTACTAGCCAAATTTCTCCAAACTTTTTTTTTTCATTTGAATTTGCCCATGGAAGTTTTCTGGAGAGAGATGATCGAAAGTCCTTAGCACAAGAAAAGAAAACATAAAAAATATGATGGCTTATCATGATAAAAGTATGCTATTCCAAAGTGTTAACATCTTGAAAACATATGATTCCAAATCAAGACACAAAGGCATACAAAAGGTGTAGCTAATTCTTATGCTTGATGAAATTATAAAGTTTAAGCTACATACTAATAGGGATTGTACGCTCAACCATGTTTTGGGTATAAAGCCAAAAAAGAAAAGAAAAAAAAATGTTGGTAATGCATTTCCCATATTTTTTCTGTACATAGCCAAATATTAACAATGTATTTCCCAGGTTGCTTCTAAATGCTATCCAAACAGTGACAATCCATTTGCAGGTAATGTATTACACTGTAATGTATTACATCAGTAATATATTTCACAGACAATATCTTTCTAGGTATCCAAATGGCCCCCTAGTAAATCTTGTAGGTTTTAACAGTTTTCTATACTTTACCTAGCAAATCTTGTTGGTTTTAGTAGCTTTCATTCTAGCAATTTTCCATTATACACCTAGCAAATATTATAGTTTTTAGTAGTTTTCTATTCTACACCTAGCAAATCTTGTAATTTTTGGCAGTTTTCCATTCTACACCTAACCAATCTTGTAGTTTTTAGCAGTTTTCCATTCTACACATATCAAATCTTATTGTTTTTAGTAGTTTTCCATTCTACACCTAACAAATCTTGTAGTTTTTAATAATTATATATTCTACACCATGTTTTTAATAGTTATCCATTCTACATCCCTTTTGAGTCTATAAAAAACACTAACCTACCTCTTATAGGGGTTGGACGTGGTAGGCTAAGAAATCTGAGAGATAAAGAGAGCCCAAACCTAGATTTAAAGAAGCAACATTAAGCCCTAGCCCCGCCATGAAACCAACTTTAGCCTAGATAAGCAAAATTCTTTTTCAATCAAGCTCATGATTGGTCAATTTTGAAGAGAGAACAATAGAGGACATACGTACACAGTCGTAGTTTTGATACGGGCAAGTCCTCGAATCCTTGGGTGCCCCGGGCCAACTGACCCAGCCAGGTATTTTCTTCATCATCTATTTTTCTCTTATTTTTCATTTATTTTTTTAAATTTATGATTTAAATTTTTTTTTCTTCAATCTTTCATGTTTTTTGGATCGATGTTGGCTTTGTCACTGACACGAGAGCAGATCTATACGTGCTTTAATAGATCTGGCTTGATATCAAAATTTGATTTTCCCCACTCTATCTCACATTTAAAATCAATTTGTGGTACGGATCTAAGGGATCTTCATCTGAATATCTCTCCAATTTGCATCGTAAATCACGCCACATATGCCTCGTAATTTTTTACAGTAAAACCCATATGGTAATCAATAGGCATAAGAGGTATCTATAATTTTCTCTAAATTATAAATAACATGAAAAGTCAAAATGAAAATGAAAATGAAAAAAAATACATAAAAGAGGATTTAGAAAAGGACAAGGTCTCTATAAGTCAGTTGACTCGTCTATTTAATTGTCCTCTCTCCAACATCTATATTAGATGGATTTTGAGTTTTGAATTTTTTTTCACAAGAGTACATTTACTTCATTAATAATAATAATAATAAGGAGCTACACCAATACAAAGAAACAAGAAAAAATAAATTCAAACAAGCAAAGTTCTCGGAATTCAAAATCTCATCCATCTCCACTCCTTTATTTCCTAGATCCTCAACCACCGTATTCGCCTATCCATATACGTGCTGAAAAGTTATTGGAAATGTCCATGATATCGATCAATTTGCTTCTTAAATTTTTGAATTCAAAATTCAACCATGAGGGGTAGGAACCCTAAAAAGAAAACAGAAATTCTTTTGACTTAATTAATACATTGTCGATTTTAAAGATTTTTGAGGCCATCATTTTCTAACATGCATCTCCAATATGTCCAAGCGTCTAGGGATGCTATAAGTGCCCTGACGTACGCACTACTTTTCCTTCTCAAAATAATCAATTTATAGCTAAACAGTAGAAACATTTTAAAAAATCGAAAAAAATAAGAGAATATAAAATAATGCATATGATGGCAAATCCTTATTTTATTCTTTTTCTTTTTTTAACTTTTTATTTTATTCAAGCAACACATAACCATGTTTTATGCCAGCAAGAAAGAGGGCCAAAACATGGGTACACAAAATAAAAAAAAAGTTGGCTTATCCAAAACACGACTGTGCAAACATGAGAGAGAGATTGTAATATAATACAACTTATGATAGTACTATTTTGACACACCAAAGGCTACCCACTTTTTTAAATGGGTGTAGTTGGCATATAGCTGCATCCCTAGCCGTAGAGGGAAGGTGGACCTTTAAATTTTATCATGGTATATAATTTTGATGTAAAAT